ACTGTTGTCTTTTCAAAGACTTTTCCACAGACAACGGCCATACTAACAGGTCCCTCAGCGTCGCACATGTTTGTGAAGCAAAAATACTAAAAATGTATAAAATATGGAGCCATTATTTTTGTCGAATACTTGCCTTGAAGAATAGCGAGTTTTATTTCGTCCTGGCAATCTGCAATTACTTTCTCGATCCTTTGGGGTGCTATGGCGGGCGACTGACACCTTCCCTGCTAGACAGTAAATAGCAGCAGTTAATTAACAGCTGTCAGGAAACGAAGTGCTTCTTCATATTATACAAAGTATAAAATAAATTAAATCCAATTACTTAAATTACTTAATTAGAAATTCATCCCCGCCATTTGTAGCTGGAAAATACAGGCCTTGGAAACAAACATAAAGCCTGCACAATACGCTGTAACTTACATCGATCAGATATTGGGTCGGTGGGGTATCAGGTTCTCACTGTGTCGAATAGATGGCTGTCTTCCAGAATGTTGCACCATATTTATTGCGTCTCCGAAACGTCGGTGAACTTCTACCAACTGTCATCTCCATGTTCTTCATTAATTTCTCTTATACGAGATAAACATTCATTCTGTGCTCTCTGTGAAGACGAGAATGTATAATTGTCATGCTCTTACCTGGGGAGTAACAGCGCCCAGACTGGAAGATATCGAGACGGTCAGTATCAAAGCCACTCGAATCGAGATAAATCGGAACATGTCTTCGAGTTGCCTAGACGTCCGTTCAGTAAGACTTCGTCACACAGACTGTCTTGTGTCGTCTTATAATAAATTCATACGTTACGTCAATTCTTCCAAGCGAGTGTACAACTCTCTACCAGTAACGTATTATACGGGCTACTGTTCGTCGCACAAACGTTGTGTGCCCCACATTCCAACACTTTCATATGGTTTGTAGTTTGAACTGCGTTATTATAAATTCTAAATGCGCTCTTTGCTAACTGCATATCCCATTGCCTTTGATGTTCATTTGTTAGATGCAAAGCTAATCACACTGCGATAAATCATAAATAATGCGCTCTTAAATTTCATTAGAAATATTAATAATATTTTAAATGTTTCAAATAATGGTATGTTATCAATGTCTTGACTTTTCCCTACGAGTATCCAACAGTAGCACCTGTCTGCAACCTGATGACCGACTTAACATGCAATTGAAACCATTCCTTTAAATAATATAAAATGAAAGAATAACATCACAAAGTCAACGTTCTCTTTATCTTTTTTCATTCTGCGAAAATAAAACTCGCTCCAAAATACCAGTTACTGCTTCTATCAAACTTGGTGTTCAAATGTGAATGAAAAATTCTCCTGCCACATATTGGCATATAAACGTAACTACTACTGTCCTTTGATAATTGAAACTGTAATATTCAATAGAAATTGTTTTCTGAGTTTAAGGGCCAGTATATATATTTATTTTTCCAGTCTATACACAAACTTATTTAAAATAATGTTGTTAAAATATTATAACATTTACAGTATAAATTGTATTATGTTGTATTTATGGCGCTCTTTTATCGTAATACGATATTACATTATTCAGAGCTTTTTTTTTATGAACGACATGTTTCGATGTTTCATGACATCATCTTCAGGTTTATCAATTTATACTATTAAGGGCCAGTGTTTGCTGTTAGAATAAACATCCAGTTCTGGTAACACTTTACCGTATGACCTGGATACGAATTGCCCATAGCAAGAGTGAGAGTGTCTGTACCATCAACCATACGCTTGATAGACAACCCACGGCCCGCGTAGCAGTTCTAGTACGTCAGTAGTGCGTATAACTAGAACCTGACCTCGTTATATTTACCTATACAGTTGGGAAGATCAGACGTTACGGAAACGGTGTAACTTATGCAAGAATGGCGTCTTCCGCTATGCATAATCTGTTTCAAAATACAAAGGCACGGACCTTTGCTACGTAATACTTTTGATTCGTAAGTACTGAACCTTTTGTGCAACGCTTGTGGAATCTCATATGCACGTCGCGTGTCCACAAGTTTGACATGCGATATTTGTTGTGCGTTAACAGTTAACTGATGGTTCAAAGCTTAGTCATATACGAGTTCTTCAACATAGTCTGAAATTATACCAGTGTAAATTACACATAGAAATTAATCATAAATTCATTAAACCTATTAATTAAGATGAAAGTTGTGCAATACTCCTAACTGTTTCTAAATCAAAATTAAAAAAATTAAATAAAAAGTCTACCAAATATTAATACCAGAAATTAAAACTATTTAAAAAAATTATATTTCTATCCTAAACACAAAGTCTTTATCGGCTTCAACAAAATCAACAATTTTGTGGTTGTTCCCTCGTTGTAGAAATCCTGGCAGCACCCATGTTTGTGACTCAATTACAAGCTTCGTAAAAACTACTTTAATTGTAATGTTTCACTCCTTATTTTCTGAAATCAAACTATAGTTATTAACACTTTGTGTGCTATGATTGAATATATTAATAAGTTACTCTGAGGCAGATTTAATATCATATCATTTAAACATATGCCTAAAAAGCTCAAACCAAAATTCTGATTCTTTCAGAAATGGTTCGTTTTTAAAACAAAATGGTGAGGATGATGAGGTAGATGACCAGGATATGGATTTATTTCCTTGCCACTACATTCAGACAAGCTGTAGGGTCCACCGAGCTGCCTGTTCATTGGACTCTTTCCTCAGTCGTGAAATTACCACTTACCTTCATCACCGCCACGGTGGTCTAGCGGTTAGAACGCTGGCCTTGTAATCCTGGGGTCTCGGGTTCGATTCCCGGCGGTGCCCGAATTTATAACTTGTGTTGGGCAAGGCCGTGGTCTAGGCAACACGGAGTTTTCCTCCGTGGCATCCCAACAATTACTCCATTCACACACAGAAGAAGGCAATGGCAAACCATTTCTGGATCATCTGTCAAGAACGTATATGAACAGGTCCCAGTCCGAGAAAAGGATGGAAGGATCCTGTTCATATGGACCTGTCGTCAGACAGAACACTAAATAAATAAAAAATACCTCTACTCAGGCACAGGAAGAACCCAAGTCTTACCTTATCATGATATATAATACACAATACATGCGCCTCTCACTATATCACTATGAAATCTGTGTTTGACTTCAACTCAGAAAACCCTAATTATTTTTCAAATACCATGAGGTATAATCAGATGAAAAAGTTTTTCAAAGTTAGGTTTTTATTCCAAGGTCATGTGGTGAAAAAATATACTCCCACCTGTTCTGCTACAATAATTCAGTGGCTGATGCAAACTTCCTCATTATAGACAGCCATTCATTTTTAGAGGCAATAAACAGTTGTGGCAGTGACAAATCTCTGTACTAAAGGTCATTTTTTTAAACCACGAAGTGACCTTGGCGTAATGTCACTGCCACATGCTATTTGTTGTGGCCACGACTGTATTTCTCTCTAGACGTCGGAAGCATCAGTCATGAGTTACAGTTCTGTGGCACGTTGTCTCCTTGTCCTCGCTGTTTGCCAATGCCATAAAATCAAGATATATCCACCAACATGGAAGCTGTTCAGTTTTAGAACTTTTGTTGTTGCAGTGATGAACTTCCATTTTCTGTAACTGCAGGTTCAGTAAGACAGTCTACTCTGACCCCCCAAGCTTCAAGGACCATTTCAAAGTAGCTTTACGTAATAGCTATCCACAGCTTAAAGATGCATGATTCCGCAGTGACACAGGACCCACATAATGTGTAGAATAAAATAAATCACAATTTTCAACTTTGTTTCAAATGTTACTGTATTCTTTTCATATATTGTGATAACCTCAACTATCACTCACAGTTTCTGTGTACTTCATACAAAAAATTAATCATACCTTTCAATGAAATAAACACTCAAAGTGAAAAGAAATCAAATTTAATTACAGAACACAATTTAATTATGCAACAATAATGTACAAAAATGTTATATATTGATGTTCTAAGTTTAGTTGTTGTATGTAAAAATGCTATCTAACCAGAAATATCCTAATTCAGGTAAAGAATGAAGTCTGGTTTGCCAGTCTAACAGTATTTTCAATGGGCGTAGCAACTTGTGTGGAAAATAAAATTAGTAGTTCCGATAACACGAAAACATTCTGAACGTCACTGGTCTAATATCTATCCAAAGTAAAATATTTCTGTCATTAAATGCAATAGATTTATTACTGACAAGAAGATGTGACAATTAAAATAGTCTTTGGCAACTTCTTTTTGTAATACTCTTAGCAATAGGTAAAGTAGAAAATGCAAATATTTCACAAAATTGATGACAATTAATGCAACTGTAGTTCAATTGTATCTTAACCTCGGAAGAGTGCTTTCTGAAAAGATAACAGTACCAAATTAGAAACATAAATTCTGTATAAAATGTATACATTGAGAATTATGTTAGGAAACATATCATGTGATTACCTATTTGTATGATTGACTCTGAACACAATTTAACAAATCAACTTGTCTGCAACTTATGAAGTTTCTACAAATTCACAATAAATGATTTTGTGTTGTCTTCTAGTGCACAAAAACATATTGACTTTTCACAGTATCATAGTAAAGATTTAGGGGCCTGGACCCAGCTTAAGAATTTAGGCCCTCATACTTACAGTAGCAGTGGTCATTCCATTTTGTTTGAGGCAAAATATGAAAGTACTGGCATTTTCACACTTGTCTGGTCCTTTACCTTAACAAAGAAATATGAAATACATTACCAAAGAACTTCATTTGAAGTTCAGACACACTGAGGGTCAATATTATTTGTTATGGCTTCTGTTCAAGACTCATTATTATGCAATTTCATTAAATATAGTTCAACTGAAATATTTTGAGATGGTTAGCCATTTAAGTGACTGGTTATGGGCCGGAAGACGGGTTTGATATCTGAAATTGGCAGTCTCCTATCCAAAAAGGGGTCATTCCCACAGTGTAAAGTGGCAGAAGTGTGAAGCTGATCATCCACACCCATCTAGAGCTGAAGTATACACTGTGTGGTGCTTTACCAATATGCTTCTTATACACCTTCATGGGTGTAGGCACAGGCACAAGTGTTTTCAGTATTTAATTCCTGTCTGAGTTTTCTATTATGTGCAAACTATTCCACTATTCAAGGAAGCCCTCTCTATTCATGGAACGCTTCTTGAGTTGTGAACTTTATGGCTGCTTTATGCATGCTTCTACAGAGGTACAGAATGGATTCATTTGGCTCTGGCATGGGTTCAGTGATGGGCTCCTGTGAATGTGACTGAGTGACTATGAGCTTTTCAAGGACACTGTTCCATGGGTTTGTTAATGAAACAACCTTAAAACTATAATAAGAAAGAGAACTATAGACTTCATTATATCATTAACGTCATTCATGTATCAATAATAGCTTCTTCAGACAGCAGTGAAATTCACAATTCAGCAGAAACCACTGATTCAGAGAGTCCTGATTAACAGTGGTGCAGTTACACATAACAATGGGGAGTGTTCAGTGAAGTAAAAACAACAATTAATAATGGATCTGATCTAAATTTAATTTAATTAAAAAACACAATGCCATGATGTTCACTGGAAGATATGCCAAAGTGAATCTGATTCAACTAAAGTTTGTTACAAAACTAATGAACAACTTTTTCTGTTTTCCATACAAAGAAAATAATTAAAAATAACAAATTGGCAATACTTACTTAATGCTTCAATTTATCTGTTGTTTGCAAAAAATTCATTATGAGAATGTCATGTCTGGGTGTCTGTCCACATATTTCAATCACTCGAATATTACAGACCAAAATTATATTCATCCAACAACTTTAACAACTTTAAGTGTAAACCTCCAGAAGACAACCAAATTCCATCAATATATCTTGAACAGTTTCAGAGATGGAACATACAAGCAGAAAGACAAGTCACATATTTCCCATAATGCATTTATTTTATGCATGCCATGTAAAATATACATGAAAACTGACAGCTGTTGTAATTCTCTGAAATATAATGGTGGATCGAATAGGATATATTTTTATTTTGATGAATGCAGAGGCTAGAATTTTCAACACTGCTTATCCTTCTGATATGAGTAACCTAGAATTTGGCTAAAATTACAAGTTAGCATAGTTAACTCTGCTGGTCTTTCTAACAAGCAGTAGATCTTGATTCTAGACTAAAGAGCTTGGAAATGTTTTAACTGCAAATGCTTCTAAAAATTCTCCTTTCTGGCATTTACTCAAAAAATGTTTCTACTATGTATTCATTATCTATATTATCATTACTAACTAGCATAAATAATACATTCATAATATAACCTCTGAATTAATCTATTGCATCACCTTTCTTTCCACATGTATTGACGAGCTGTGTCACTGGTACCTTCAGTGCTTCTATAGGAATCATATTTATCACTTCGGCCAACATAGCAGTTTCAACTTGATCACCCATAATCTGAAATAAATATACACAGTAGGTATTTCAAATATAAAATGAAATTAAATCTTATTATCATTACCTGAATATTCATGAAACATGCTAAATACTAACAGTTATTTCAATGTAATCTTCATTATCAAGGCTGGCTCTGTTCTATGGGTACAGGGGGTTCTTTCCTCAGGGATAAAATGGCCAGAGCTTAAAGTTGACCAATCATCTTACTTGTTAGTGCTAAGATTAAGAATATGTGAACCTCCGGTCCTCCCTGTAAACCTTCATGGTGTTGTGCTTAATAAGAGGCAAATCTTATTGGAATAATTACAAGATATGCTGATGTAGCAAAGAAGTCTCATTACAACTGAATGGCTGTTTTACAATCATTAACTCTTTCTTTTCTTTTCTTTTCTTTCCCTTCTCCACCCCACCCCTACTTCAACCCCCACCCCATCAACTAAATAGTTATGTGCTGAACGTTGTTACTGATTGCAATCTCTTTCAGATTGTCATTTATGCTTGCTATCCTTTTTAGCTGTGGTCATCTTTAGCAAATGTTTTCATATTCAGTTGTACATAATTTTTAATTGTGAATGTTCAGTTATGGCCATAATGGCTACTCTTTACTTTTAACACCAATTCAAAGCATTAATCTGTATATTTGAATAAATATATTAAAATGTAATAGTAGTAATAATTAGATTTACAGACAATAACTTGTACTGAAAAATGTGGAGAGACAGTTAAACAACAGCTCTAAAAATTAACAACTAAAAAGCATATTACAGTTCAATTCTGTCACAGACTAAAATAAAATACCCAAGTGAATACGGTGGTCTCTGCTGGAGAGGATATTCTTTGCATTGTTTGTAGTACAATGAAGAACTTTATTAAATGGATAGGTATTTAAAGTTTAATTCAAAATACTATGAACTTATAAGTTGAATTAATCCAACAAGTATACTTTAAACATAAATCTGATACACAGTACTTTCACTTAAGATGAACATATATACTAAATGTGAGCTCTTGAATGTAGTAAGCTGTTTATTAACAAATATATAAAAAATACTCACCAAATAGAACCTTTCCATCACACACGCAATAGCACATTTAGAGTTCTTGTCAGCACCAGTACGGGAGAAAATTAATGAAGTTGATATCTTCACTGGAATAAATATTTCAAATGTCATAATATACTCTTACAGAGCGTGACAAATCTTGCCCTCGGTGGACTAGTGGTTAACGTGCTCGCCACTGGACTCAAGGTTCGTGGGTTCAAACCTGGCCAATATCGATGGATTTTTAAGCCACACAAAAAGTAAATAATATATACAGCCTAATGATTTTCTACAGAAGTGTTTCTTGACCTTTTTTACAATGTGATTTGATGAGGACAGATGGCTAGGTGGATCCCCAGAGCCAGTCTGCACACTGTATTGGTGAAGAAAAAAAAATCCATAAAATTAAAATAACTTACCAACTTGTAGCTCATATGAATTTGAATTGCACTTACTCAAAGAAACTTTATTTTCCTGTGCACAGTCCTGAATTGCTTCAAAGGCATAGGACACTATAGCTGACACCATAGTCAAGTCCTGACTTGTAGCCTGTTGAAACAAGAAACACTGACTACTTCAACTGAAATGACTGTGCCTGCAGCAGTAGGTACTAAATGATAGTTGATATAAAACTCTGTGGTGCAGGGTCTTCTTTTGAAAGTTGGCAATTGTTCAACTGGTCAAGGAAATCTCTACTTTTAAAGAATCTAAAAGTTCACTACTGTGTTCATGATAACATGATTTGGATCCTATCCTGAGTCAGTTGATTCCAATCCACAACTTAACAACCTCTTTCTCTAACACCTATTCCAATATTTCTTGACTGTGATCAGCATATAGTTTTGTAGGTGGTTACCAGCATTTTGCAGGAACATATCACCTCCATCTTAAGGGTTTGAACCCTTCACCAGTCCCTGTCACTGGCCAGTTACTCCTCATAGTGCTGTCTTTAGAAGTTCACCATTTTTGGGCCTCTGTAGGAATTTGAATAACCACCTGCAAGACCACACTGTTACTGCCTCCTCAAATCTTGGACATTTTAATATTATCCTGCCATCTGTGTATAGGTTTACAAAGTAGTTTCTTCAGGCTAAAGTTTTGTACCTACTTCTCATCTCTCTCATGAGCCGCATGCCCTGAACATCTCATCTATTATGTAAACAGCCTAATAACATTAAGTGAAGACTACAAATACTGAAGCAAACTGTTTTCTTGATATTATCCATCATATCAATATTTTATATAGTCTTGGATGATGGATAATATCCAGAAAACAGTTTACTTCAACAACGCACCATCGTCAGAAACTTTCAGAATTTAGCAACAAATACTGAAGCTCCTCATTATATAATTTTCTTCATCCTTGTGCTATTTCCTCTTTCTTGGGCCCTCTGAACTTCTTATGAAACACCAATGGCATGACTTACTCAATAAATCATTAGAAGAATGCTGAGAAAGACCACCAAAGTTTGAATTTTTAATGACTCCACACTGTGAGATTGTAAATGATGCTTGGAGATAAAAGTTTCATTCACTTGCAAATCAGAATACTACATCATACAATTAAATTCTAAATGTGAAATATTATTTTTGCCTCTACATAGGAATACACTTTGAAAATGTTCTCATACACTTTATGCATGCCAGGTTATAAATTTAAAAAGTGCTAGAGGAAACTAATGTAAATGACATGTATACATACAGTACTAATTGCCAGGTATTACAAATTAATGGGATCCATTCCAAAATCAAATAACTGTAAAATAGAGGACTTTTCTTTTTGTGTGAGGATACAATACACAAGTGTTCAGTGCATGCTTGTAACACAGTTGGCTGGTTTAGAAACTTACCATTTCAGAATATAGGATGATGACGGAAACCAAAACTGCAAATGTCGTCATTTTTCTTCCTTTGATTTAAGTTGTGGAACTCATTCTGCACATCTCATATTTATATCTGAAATCTAACAGCACAAAGAACAA